GTCAAAGAACTTCTTTGCCACGCTCTCCACACGCCCTGCATCTGGTGCACCTGGGCTCCTTGAAGACCAGTCAGAAAGCGCAAATTCCCGAAAATGTTCGTATTTGTTGGCCATCGCTGCATCCTTGTTTTGATACTCCGCTGCAAAGTGCTCCCATGTCGTCAGCATGCGCAATCGATCAAAAGTATGGCACATGGATGGGATCGCCATGAATAGGAAACCTCCCGGCCGCACCACTCGCAACCAATTCTTCAGTGTTTCAAGCGCATCGTAGGTGTGTTCAATCACATGAGTAGCAACAAAGAAATCAAAGGACTCTGAAGGAACTTTGGCAAGTGTTTCAGCCCTGTCCACGATGTCGGGAATCTGCAGGTTTTGCGCCTCCAATTCAGGGTACATTTTGCGAAGGTCGTTGAAGCTCAGCCCGTCGATAAAAGTCCTGTTCCGTACAAGCCTTTCAGGAATTGGAGCTTTCTCATGCAGGGCACCTATTTCGCCAGCATCAAGTAGGTAGCTCTCACCACGTGTCGCCCGCATTTGGGCAAGTAGCTGAGACAGCCAATATTCGTAAAAAGAAGCTCTGTCCAATGGTGGAAATGTTGCTTGTGCATCACAGTTTGCATATGAATAATTCAAGATCGCTCCTGGATATCTGCTGGGGGCATAGCTTTGCTGCCAAGCCGCAACCTTCTGCCGCGCGGAGGACGATTCCTCCACAAAAAAACCCCTGCAACCAGACGAGCGCAACTGCCAAGGCCGCACTACCGAGGCAGCACCCGAGTCCGCACCGCCAAGTCCTTCTGACAGAGCCGGGAGTAACCTAGGAACAAAAAGGGTACCCTTTTTGGTTGTAAGGGGATTAGAAGGGAACCCCAACCCCTAAAAAAAGGAGAAAAGGGCCTGCTCCCGGTCCTAGTGCCACTTCCCATTGTGTTGTCGTGGAATAGGTGAAGAACATGCCCATGACCATACCTATGAACATGGCGAATCCCGCACGCAGCGCCATGGCTCCTGGAAAAAATGCCTCGAAGTAGCAAGGGCACCGTTCATGTACTTTCAAGAAATAGCTGAAAGATGTCAGAATACTTCTTTGCGCTGGTGGGGCTTCTTAGTAAGCCTCGCGATGCAAGTGAACTTGGACTTGAGATGAGAGCTTCTGAGATGAGGGATATCTTCGAGGTCGGCACAGGTCGGGTCGTCCCTTCGGTCTGTGTGCCCCTTAGAGGGTTTAGGGTTTTGGGTTTTGGGCTTAGGGCTAGATTTTCGGGGTGTACTTGAAGTTGGGATTTAGGCTACTTGAATAAGGTTTGGGATTGGGGGTTTAGGGTTTAGGGTGTTGGCTCAACTCTTCGGGACATGTCAGTCGGACAGGGAGTCATTATTGTAAGAACATGAAATACACAGCAACGCAGGAGCACTTTTCTTCGCGAATGGGAATACCAAGCGTCAACGCGCAGCATAACATATGCTGAACCCGACACACACATGGCATACACTTATGCCAAACTCGCAAACCGCACATCAAAGCACGGGCGAATGCAACCCTCCCGCGTGTCGAGAGGGCGGGCCGGGCGGCACGCGAGAATGCAAGCCACTTGCAACACTGCACTGCTTCTCGAAAGTTGCAGACGAGCAGCAACACAAGCAGATGGCAAATGGCTTCAACGAGCACATGACATGCGCATCACACGCACGCAACCCTGCCCGCAAGACCTGCACCAACGAACACACCCCTGCAGACAGACAAGTCCCCCTACGATGGACGCGGTCCACTCCACGGGACATGTCAGTCGGACAGGGAGTCATTATTGTAAGAACATGAAATACACAGCAACGCAGGAGCACTTTTCTTCGCGAATGGGAATACCAAGTGTCAACGCGCAGCATAACATATGCTGAACCCGACACACACATGGCATACACTTATGCCAAACTCGCAAACCGCACATCAAAGCACGGGCGAACGCAACCCTCCCACCCGCAAGGCGACCCGTGCTCTCATCGCAAGCTGCCATCTCCGGACAACGCACAGAACCCTTGGGTTCACTGCCATGGATCTCGGTTCTTCAGTGGCTCTGCGCGTCTTGCCCTTTTCTCACGCGTCTCCTTCTTAGCCCTCGCGAGCCGAATGTCCTCGAATAACTCTGCACCATTCTCCAGCATATCTTGAAGCACGATTCCCTCGTAGTCGTCGAAGCAAAACCGGACTCGACGCTCTGCAGCGAACCCACGGAAGTCTTCGTTCGTTAGGGCGTCAGCTTCACGATTCTGGAGACGCGGGCACCAGTCGAGGCGCAGTTCTGCACTGTCGCGCAGCAGTAAAGCTGCCAGCTCCATCACGAACGCCATCAGTGGGAAACGCGTCGTCAGGAGACGTTTCATGACGCACGCATTGCCCAAGTTGTCAGTCGAAGCTGAGCACACCACGCTGCCGCTTAGTGGACTTCCTGCTGACTGGCTCAATCCGAAGCAAACTACTGCTGCCAGAGTTGCCAACAATTCCAGAGAAGCTATAGCCCGGAAGGGTTCGCCGGCTAGGAAGGCCCATGACGCATTAAACCTGGTTAGCTTCTCGCTGAACCAGCGGCAACCTTCAGTTGCTTCTGAGTCGGCGACGGCCCATCCGCCGATGAAAATATCTTCTCCTTCAGCCCGAGCGTCTGTGCGGAAAACCTCACGGCACACTTGATGCTTCACGCCCACTCACTGCAAGTTGCCTCCTTCTTCAAGCATCTTCAGCAAGAACGACAGGACAAGCCGCAACGCTTTGGGAAGCTTCAATCTTGCAGCACGCTCCTTGACCGCGGAGGTCCATGCGTACAAAGGACCCAAGAACGGTCGTAAAGGCTCCAGCGCTGCAAAGGCAAAAGAAAAGCGTCCCAACACAGAGCTGACCTCTGCCACCACGACATAGTCATCCTGGAGCGCCTTTCCAATCCAATTGATTAGCCAACGCGCTTTATTCGCACCAATACCGAGCAGCTTCTTTTGGATATCCAGGTGGTATCCAACCCAACCGACACTTAAACCGCCGTGGCATTTTCGCCACGCGATAGGTAGCCCCGAAGCGCAGAGAAAGAGCAGCGCAGCGGCGATTGCCTTAACGGCCACGCTGCCACGCGCCAGCCACAAGTTGTCATCCACGTACGTCAAGATGAAAACGGCGATCTGACGTAATAGATAAAAGACAGCACGTTGTAGCCCTCCCATGAGTCTGGACCAATGCACAGCGACACTAGAGATACCAAAAGTTCCAACCGTGTTGACCCAGACATCGCCCGAAGAGGAAGACACCCGGCATGCCTGCAGGCTGCCTGCAGGCCCCACTGCTCCTCTTTGACTTTGAGGAGTCTATGCGCACGTCTGATGTCCGTGGTCAACGCAAAGGTGGGCTCTAGCTCACGGCATGCTTCATGTCACCTGCGGTGGGACAAACCAGCTGGTCGCACCTTGATGCGACCATTGACGCCTGTGCCGTGGGTGCCATCATGTGTGACTCGGAAGGAATCATCGGCTTTCTTAATGGCCCCCAGCGACGCGATCCGCAAGTTGCTGCCATACTTGGCCTTGGCCTCTGCCATGCTCATGTTTACCATAGCACCAAGCTTCTCCTCCTGCCGGAACTGCTGCTCCAATGCCGCCGAGTTGATCTCAGCTGCCGGATAGTTGCAGCGTACATCCTCGCTAGGCTCTTGCTCGTCGCTGTAGTCACGCCACTTGCACTTGCGGGCAAAGACGGCAGGCGTGCGTGGAAGCTTCTCATTGACCCCGAGAGAAACGCCATTCGCAAATGAGTTGGAACTGGTGTAGAAGACACGGAAGTCGGGATCGCCTGATAGTCGCAGAAACTCCTCCAACATCGCTAATCGAAAAGGCTGCCTGTCAGGAACATGGTCCAGGTCAAGCTGAGTGCCATGGCGGTGAATTTGCCTTTTGATGATGAGCCGAGCATCATCCAGCAAGTTATCATCAAAGGGCGAGTCATGGTGTCTGCCGCAGGCAAGTCCAAGAACGAGACGACGTCCATCTTGTCACGCAACAGCTGCTGTAACTGCTCAAAGCACTGCTTTGCCATTCCCAGACGGCCATCCAATGATTCGTCCTTGCGCTGCTCTGGGGGCCAGCGACCAGGAGAGCACAAGCCTGCGCCATCCACAAACGCGCGCCTCTTGCCCATGAGCTCAGAGACCATCGGAGGACCGGTGCCCCAGACCCCAGAGCCCAAGCGCTGCTTGGGAAAGCCATCTTCATCCTCATCGGACGATTCATCTGCGGACTCTTGCCGTTGATAACCACCTGGAGAGTGGCCCTCATAGGCACCAGCGTCGTCATTGACAATTTCGTCAGCAAAGGAAATGCAGCCTTCCAAACCGGACTGCGCCGAAGAGAGCGTCCCCACCGAAGGCGAGCGCAGGCCGCAAGAAACCGAGGGGCACTGTGAGAGACGGGGCCTCGCCTCGGTACGCGAAGCCCCTGCAACGTTTCAAGATGAGGTCTGCTCAGCAGACTTCTTCTCCGGGCAAACCTTCTTGCCATGACCAGGAGCGAGGCACAGCTGACATACATGCTCAAAACCGCAGCCACCCTGACACTTGCCATTGTTGAACTTGAAGCAGATGCGTTTTCCACACGCTGTCTTCGTCTTCAAGAACAACTTCTTGACTTGACCCCTTCCACCTTTTCCACCTTTGCCCTTGCCCTTTCGCTGGAGCCAACCATCATGGTGTAGCCCCGCGTCATCCTGATCATATGACGAAGTCAGGAATTCGGCAGACGTAGTCAAAGGCATGAGAAAATGAAGGTTGAGAATCTCCGGGCATTTGCACGCTGTTTCCAAAGCTACCGACAAGGAATTGGCATCGCCAGTCCGAACAACTGGTAAGCCTTCTTACGAAGCTCCTGCTCAAAGGAGAGCACTAAACTAAACTCCAAGCAGGCCTCTTTGTCTCTTTCCCGAACATCAAGGGGTGGCTGGCGATGTGTTTGCCCAAGACAAAATCTGACAGTCGGCGAAAGGCATCGATCAAGTCTGCAGACAACCAAGGCTGATTCACGTGCTTTGTTCTGCACATGAGCCAAGCGATAGCAATAAGACGGTGGCGCTGACGTAGTTCCTCACCTGTGGCAGGCAGAGCCACACGGGCCGTGCCGGGACGAATCTTCAAATGTCCCGTGCCATGCTCGACGATGCTGCTGAAGAAATCAATGTCCTTATCTTCGAGACAGAGAACCTCGCGCAAGTCCTCGGCCTGGAGAGAACTTTGCTCAATCTGCTCAAGCTTCGTCGCAACCAACGACTTTGCAGGAACTTCCGAGTCCCTGAGGCTGCCGAACTCGGCTTCGACAGCTTTGCGCATAGCTGCCATCTCCGACAGCTGAACCACACGCTGTGACTGACCTAGGCGGCTTTCAACCTTCAGCTTCTCCTCCGTAGTGGCCTGGAGGCGAGAAGACTCCCAAGCTGCTAACACGCTTGCCACAGCAATGCGGGAAGGGGTGTCTTCATCATGTTTCAAGCCAATCTCTGCTGCCAACGCACCACGAACTTCAGCACGCGACTCATCCATGCCCGCGAAGAGATGCAAGCTTGTAAATCCGGCATGGAAAAGAGCGATTTGTACTTTCTGGGGAACGCCTTTCTCTGCGAGATGGAACTTCAGATCTGAAGAAGCCGACGCCAAGGCAACCTTCTGCTGCTCCTCGGTCAGTTCCGTCAGTGGCATGACGCAGCACAGAAGAAGAGGAACTTGCACTCTGTCAGGCAAGCGTTACTGTGATGCTACAGACTTGTAGGCCAAATGAAGCACTTCAACATGCGCAGTCGCAAGATCAATCGTAGCCAGCCAACATGGAGGCTATGGGCAGCGTCCCATGCAAAGGACGCAGCAAGGGGCACCTGTTGACAAGCCTGTCAACAAAGCCATGCAACATGTTGACAAGAAACGTTGTCAACAGCATGAACGACACTACATGTCGCTAGCCGCCCCAAGCAGACGCATACTTCAA